CTTTAATAATAACCTAAACTATTTACCCTTTCAACTGAAATCATCCGGCCATGCAGCTCGGTTCTATGCAGATGGCTGATGCACTTTGTGGCCTCCTCAGTAGAGCACATCGTAACAAACCCATAGCAGCGAGCACCGGGGCTTCGGGCATTTGTTACTACTTTAGCACCAACAACCTGCAAGCGGTAACAAATATGGATCAGGACACCATCCCACCTAAGACCAACCCAATTTTTTTTAGTTAGTTTTCTAGAACATGCAGACCTTGCCATATTTGCTGAATAGATTTTTTAGATCTGTCGCTCTCGTGGTTGAAGACAGTCCACTGACCCAAAGGTTCCTTCCGCTAGCAGCTGCGCTACCTGATAGGGCCCAAAAATCAATTTAGAAAAGCCCAGAAACAATTTCTTGTTTAAAAAGTTCACTGCGCACCCACCTTTATCATCTTTTGAGTCAGGCTTGCTTGATGAATCCTCATCACCACTACAGAAAAATAAAACGGCATAATGAGAAATTGAATGGGCAGTTTAAACGGGAACACCAGTGTCGATAAACAGATACCCACCTAGTGGGGACAATGAACGAAGATTTGGATACTATAACTTGAATAGTCATGTGAAGCCCAATTACATTAAACATACCTTGGACTGGCAAACCAAATTTCTGTTACATTACTTTTTGAAGGTAGAAAAGAAAATGACAAAATGGTAGACGAAATGCGCAGTCGATTATACCTCCCAAGAGCACCCATACTTGTTAACAAAGGAGCCAATGAAACAGAGAAAGCCATTGTTCTAGTAGACAGAAAACAACAAACCTCTTTTTCTGATCATCACCCTCTACAGAGGACTCTTTCACTTCTGAAGACTCAGCAGGTTCAGTCTTCTTGCATTCCTCGACTGCTTCTCCTTTGGATGCCCTTTCCGAATGAACTGCGCTTTCGATATCATGCAAATCTGTTTCGCTAGCATTAGCGGCCTGAGCAGAAGTGCTCTCAGTGTCCACCAAATTGTCCTGAATATTTTCTTGGTCCTTGCTTGTTGATTCAATTTCACTTTGCTTTGATGCATCAACGTCCATTTCGCAGGCTGACGATTCGGCTTCCAAATTGGCGGCCTCCTCGGCGTTAGCGAGGTCCTGCACATTGTCTTCCTCTTTGTGAGAATCCCAGACTGAAGATTTCTCGTCTTCAGTCGGCTCTTCAGTGGTGTCTTCCTTAAGTGGCTCTGATATACAAGACCCGGCTACTTTCTCACTTTCTACGGATTTAACAGGAATAGAATGGCACAGAGTTTAATCACTTCTGAGACATTGCAATGGTTATCGTGGAACTGGACTAGGACGTGGCCCTCTGCTGTCTCATACACAAGCAAAGGCAAGCTACCCTATGAAGAGACTGGAAAAACCAAAGCGAGGACAAGCAACAAGCTTCCAGACAACAGGCCATTTCTTTTCAGTTCACCTGCACCCCGAAGCAGAGGGCAAGCTGTTGACTAGGGAAAGCCACAAGACCTGCACCACATCCGAGTGTCCATCGTCGACTTTAGTACTTGAAGTGTCCGTGATATGGAAGAAGCAGCTTGTGCTGTCTTTACAGGAATTGTGTTTCTTTTGAAACAAGCAAACTGTCCATTAGTGAAATCTCCAATTAACAAACTTTGAGTCCTATAGTGATTTTGCTTCAGCATGATCCAATTCTTCTCATCTTCTCTTTGTGGTCTTCTTTAAGCAACCTAGAAACACTAAATTGCATCTGCAACAACCATTTAAACCAACCTATGTGCTAACTGAAACAGATTGCTGGCTCTTTGCATTTCTGCACCATCCAAAAAGAGCATGTGAAGGACTATAACATGGTTCTAAATAAATATTTAAATGGCTAAATGTATAGTCAGCAATGCAGAAAGCCAGTAATCAACTTTGGATTTCCAGTCTCTTTTTCCTGAGTAACCTGTTATATTTATACTAAATGGACCTCATGGCTTCACCCTGACTTTAAGAACAATTCCAGACAACCCCATACAGTACCTTTTACGCTTTTTGTGTCCTCGCATCCATGCTCACCATCATCCTCCTGCTAAAGGTGGAAAATGAATAAAGATCAACTAAATAAACCCAATGCCGATCGTAGAAAAAAACAACAACAAACAAACTCCAAAATATTAACTTCCTTAATTACCTGACAAGGCGCTTCCTGGTTGTCATTCACGTCTACGTCATTAGCCTCCATTTCCTGAAAGCCAAAGAAAGCGTCACACAATGTGCAACAAGAACAAAACAACAGTATGACTGGCTAATTTTAAAAACTCACCTCCTCTACCTCAAATTTACTCGTGACAACATCAGTGACATCCTCTGCGTCGTGGTTATTTGCGTCATCCTCCCTCAGGTTGGCGGTGTTCTCTTCGTTCAATAACGTGTCTAGGACCTCCTCGTCATATTCGTCTCCCTCGGGCCCACATCCATTGCCCATATCAGCTTCATCCAGGACATTCATGTCCATAATATCCATCTCATGAAGGTTCTCTGGAATAGCATCCGGGTCCTCCTAAAGGAAGTAAAGGCGGCTGTTAAGTTAAGATAAACCTATGCAAAATAACCCAACCCAGTTACGTAGATCATATCCATCAATAACTTTATATGACAAAGCACCTGGCCATCAACAGAGTCCTCCTCAAGGGTGCAATCTTCAGGCTCATCAGGCTCGTCAGGTTCGTCTGGTCTTTTTCCTGTAGAGAATAAAAAATATATACACACATATATATAAAAAATTTTAATAATTAAATTGAAGCAAGTTGTGTGTAAATTTGTGAAACACGATGTAGTAGCTAAAATGATTTTAAAATAAAAAAACATCAAACCACACTTTTACCTTTTGGAGTTCGCCGAGGTGTTTTTTTAGGAGTTATCTCTAGGTGTACAATGATCTCATCAGGATTTCCACCCTCTTCTTCAATGGCCTGCAAACGTAAGTATGATTTATATAGTCAAACACAAGCATAAATGTCATCCATTTCCCTATTGTTTACAGCTTCACAACAATCCATCATTATTCTACAACGACAACCTACACTTCATTCACTGCATATTACGTAAGCATTGAATGCAAAACATCCTGCAAAGCTAGTTTGATGTCTGCAATAGCCTGAGAGTTGTGCGTAACAGAAAGTTATAAAAGCGTATGCATTTGACAAATTACCAGTAATAATCCAATGCATCCTATTAGCCAAAAAAAAAAAAAAAAAACCACGAATCGCCTATAAACAGCACGTGACGTTACTGCAGTAAACACCCACCCCAGTAACTTATGCATGCAAAGCATGTTTATACAGTTGAGAGTTGCAAAATTATTAGATGTTTATATCTGGTGTTGCACTTGCCTTTTTGAGTCTTTCTGAAAGCAGGCTCTTATTGCCGCTGATGTCGAGATTTCGGCGCTTCAGCTCGGCCTTCAAATCAATCACTCTCAGCTCCGATAATTTACGCACCCCCGCCTCCACAGGCCCCACATCCGCTGTCGAAGAGTCTGACATGTTTTCTAGTTGTGAGAACGTTACGGTGGAAGTACGAGTCTCTCTCTAACCCGCGCACACTCACCAAATTGTAGATAGAGCGCGATAAACAGCGTTTCTCGCTCGAAGCAAAATGGCGCAGTCCACTACAGTCCTACGCATGCGCCTGCCTTGGGGCTTTTAGGCGCATGCGCGCAAACGTCATCGATGTGACATGAGCGCGGGAACATCTTGGTGTCATTTATTCCAAGAGGGTTTTTGCGGATAATGGTTTAATTGCTGGTGGAATGACCTGCCCAACTCAATCCGAGCAGCTGAGTTCTATAGCCATCTTCAAGAATCGGCTAAAAACACATCTCTTCCATCTTTATTTGACCCTCTAACTCTAGCACTCTCTATTCTAATTCTTTTTTTTTTTTTTTTACTTGTCCCTTTAAGACTTGCACTCTATTCATTTACTAACTGCTTGTTTTCTTTAAAAAATAAACTAACACTAGCTTTTCTAATCTTTATATATTCTATTTGTTTTATTTTTATTTATTATACAATTAACAAAAGCAAAAAAAAAATGCCTCTAACACTAGCTTGCTCTATTCTTTTTCTATTCTATCGGTTTTCTTTTTATTTATTATATAATTTTTTAAAAGCCTTGCTACGTGTACTGCATTTAGCTAACGTTAACTGAGACACTTGCATATCATTGCTCTTTTGTTGATTTTGATTGCTTCCATGGTCCTCATTTGTAAGTTGCTTTGGATAAAAGCGTCTGCTAAATGTAAATGTAAAATACATTTCAGGTGGGAATCGAAATAGAATATTATACGAAAAATAGCCTATTTAGTCAGCTATTTATAAAATTAGACATAGCAGATGTGATGAAAATATATTATTTAAGAGCATTTTGAAAGGAGCGCGGGAACCTGATATATATTGCTTTTCTTCCCGAAAATAACGTTACTTGGTATTTTAGTGAGTAAAAGAAATTATGAGTAGTAGTTTATAATTACACATGTCGGTCAAGGTCACTAATGTGTGAGTGCAAAATGTTCCTGGATTAACATCCTTGTTTATCTTGGAACAATATTCCAAGCAACCAATCAGAATTGAGGGATAAGTTTACAGGAAATGTCAGTTTTAGCCTTACAACCAGATTTAGGTGGTTTGTACACCCTTGGTATTCAACTATCATTTCCCTCTGATTTTAGGGATAAATTATGGGTAGGGTTTGGTTTAGGGGTAGGGATAGGGTTAGTTTATGTTTTGGAACATTTTAGTCCGACACCAGACTGGAGAGTAGATTAGCGTTTGTGGACTTGAACTTGAAAAATGGTGTGTATTGACATCTTCCAGCATTTGAAACAAGATACCTTCTGCTGTTCATTCATGTTTATTATTTCATGCTATAACTAGTAAAGAGGAAGAGATGATTAGTTCACGAGCTGCTTGAACTGAGGAGCCACAGCGATCTGTCACGATACATTAAAGAGCCACAAAACAATAGCCTATTTATTGTTTGAATTTCTTAAAAATGTACAAAATTTGAAAGCGGAGACTTTGTTTGATATCAAAAGTAACCTGTCCTGTCTTGTCTGTCGGCATGTTGTCAGTTTCCTCTTTGCTCTGCAATATATTGTTCAGTGACAACATGATGTGTGGCATGAGAGCAGCATGTCTTGTCGGACATAGCAACAGTAATGAAGGGGGCGGGTCTTTGCGAAGGGTCAATTACATTACATTCACAAGCTTCTGTAACATGGCAGGCTGGGTGGAATATAACAAAATCATATTGTAACATTTACACTGTAACATCCAAGACGCACAGCTTTGAACTCTTTCCTGCTAAAGGGAATTTGGTAAGTTGCTAAATTTAAATGGGAGTTCCTGAGAAGAGGCGCTAGGCAAACTCTTGATGGCGGGAGGTTCTTCGGATTCAAGGAACTCAGGACATATGGTTTCCTCTGGTTCATTCTTTAAACTAGAGAATGTGGGTGATTCCATGGGTCCCTGATAGTAGGACCAGGATGTAGATGCAGATCCGATGGAGGAAAGGCTTAAGTCGGGGAGGTTAGCTCTGAAGCTTTCACTGAAAGATGAAGACTCCATTATACTGGACATTTGTAGGTCAGAGGAGGAGGTGTGAGAGAGTCGTGGCTCGTGTAGGTTGAGTTTTGACACTAAAGGTTTGCCTACACTGATCCTTTGCTCTTCCAAGAGCTCTTCATCCAGATTAGTGTACTTGTAGTGTAGACACACAGTAAAGGAGAGCTCTTTCTGTGTGGGGAAAAGCAAAAAGATATGCCTTATCATATAACATATAAAACATTAGATATACAGGGGTTAGACAAGATATTGTGAACACCCATTATTATAGGTGTTAATAAAATTTGTGTAGGCTACAGTGAAAAAAACAAACATTGTCATTACCTTTTATTTCTCTTTTCATCTTCTATATTCTCTAGTTTGTAAATCAGTTTACAGGTAGTGTTAATTTGTGTTCAGCAATGTTTAGTACAAGTGCTTGTGAAGCGGGTGACATATCAGACTTCCAAAAAGAACAAATCATGGAAGCTTGTTTAAAGGAACACTCCACTATTTTTGAAAATAGGCTCATTTTCCAACTCCCCTAGAGTTAAACAGTTGAGTTTTACCGTTTTCGAATCCATTCAGCCGATCTCCGCGTCTGGCGGTAGCACTTTTAGCTTAGCTTAGCATAGATCATTGAATCGGATTAGACCGTTAGCATCTCGCTCAAAAATGACGAAAGAGTTAGGCTAGGAACTATACTCTCATTCCGGTGTAATAATCAAGGAACTTTGCTGCCGTATAGTGGAGTGGTCCTTTAATAGTAGCATCTGTAACCTTAAAAGCCCATTTTTATGACTATGACTGCGAACACAAAGCATGGCAAGACATCTTCAGCAAAAGAAGAACAGTGGGCAAACTGAAGGTGAATAATATGGGCCGTTGAACACTAAGAAGAACTGTGCCCAAACAACGCATAACTACTGCTGCAAAGTGACAGCAAATCTCAATAGTCACCTTAAAGAATGTTTCCACAAAAACCAACCACACAGAACTTCACAAAGCCAACATCCATGAAATAGCTGCAACTGCTAAAGTTATAATCAGAGACAACCATTTTAAAATGTGAAAATGATGGTATTGTAATCTTAAACCTGGACAGTTGGAGCACCAAGATGAACTTCAACATCTGCCCTGGCCAGACAAATCACCTGACTTGAATATTATCAATCCACTGTGGACAGTTTGGAGAGAAGAGTGAGAAGCAGATTCCCTTCATTAACTTTTCTGAAACAATTGGCTGATAGATGACATTCCACTGGAGAATATTCAGAAGTTTTATGAATCTAGCCTGCCGACCACGAGTGATTTCACACCTTCCCATGTCTGAAATGGACAGTGACTCTGTAAAACTGTGTGGTCATACTTGGTGTCATCAGTTTTTTGATAGAAGCCTATGGCATAGATGTGGCTTAACAGTAGTAGCACATTTTGTGGCTGGAAAGTAGTTCTAACAAAATGTCGATACCGACAATGATTCGAACATCTTTAACCCCAAACCTTCTGCTACTTTGTCAAGTATGACCGTGACCTTCTCTGGCTCCATCAGTCTTTTCTTAAGGAAGCTCATGAAGATTCCATTAGAGAGATCATCTTTATTTACTTCAAATGCTTCGGCATCAACACACCTGAATCCAGAATGTGAAAATTGTAATCACAATTTCTAGATGTCAAAAAATGATTGTCATTGCATTAGACTTACGTTGCATAACCAAACACTATGTTTGCGGTCACTCTCAAGGGGCCAGGTTGTGGGATGCTCTCATCATTTGGGTTTCTGAATGAACAACACAACAGACGTCAGTTTCAAGTAAAATTGTATGCACAATATTTCAGAACTGATACACTTATGAATCAACTACACCGTTTCCGACACATGTCCAATAGAAAGACGTTAAGTTCCGTCTGGCGCTCTTGCATGCGCTGTAACACGTCCTGCACCCAGAGGCAGTGCTTGAAGGTATAAGAGGCTGGAGCATCGATAGGTACCATGAAACTGTTCCCATAGTTTTCATAGCCATGACCAGCAAAGTACAACAGTCCTTGAAATGGTGGACATGGATGAAATGATCCAAATGTATTTAATAAACAAACAATTAGGAAGCTTAGAACTTAAAAATATTTTTCTATAGTCACAGAAATCCAAATTATGCAACAAGGAACTAACCATAAACACCTCGATCCAACAGCAGCAAGAACTCAGTAACAGCACTATGCATCTCCTGCCAGTTGAGGTCTAGCAGAGAGACGACTTTAAAGTCTAACTGGCGTAGAAGGTTTGTCAACTCGTGCACATCTGCCATGGGAGCTCTCAGTTGCCGGTGATGCAGGTAGTTCATGTTCCCAATAAGCAATGCTACCTTATCAGTGGCTATAAATATGTGAAGCGACAAGATTAAAATATCAGATCCTTTACATGAAATGCCGAGAGTAACTACCACACTTCTGCTTATCACTTACCGGAACAATCCCCCATTTGCCTTGGAACCGCATTAGAAGCACCTGTAAAATATAAGGTGCATGTGAGTGACAAGAAATTATCAGTAGATGTGTTAAAATCATACAATTAAACAGATCTTGCTTACCTAGTTTTGGTGCTTCCCATGAGACATCAGAAAAGGAACCAGGACCTGAGTGAAAACAGGTCATGCTATAACGAAAAATCTTTGGTCGATTTATTTCACTTGTATTTAAGGGAACAATTATGGATCATTTAATCTCAAACAACTTACCGATGTTTACTTGAACCTGATCACTCCACGCTTCATGATAGAGGTTGTAAACCTTGCAAGAATATATACCTCTATCCGCTGTGGTTATGCATGGAATCTGTGGACAAGACCATACAGATGCCCAAGTAAGTAAATTCAAATGAATTACTCTTATGCATTCAACTGTGAGACTTTCATGAGTACCTTTAAGATGCTTTTAGTACAGTTTGGCATTGGCTGTTTGTTAAGATACCATTGGAACTGGGGAGGTGGGTTGGCCTGAGCAGCACATTCAAGATAGAGAGTTTCTCCCTCCATCAACGCTTGAGGCCTAGGTTGCTGAATTATATACAACCTACTAGCTGACGAAGGGAAGTAGCCACTGCTGGAACCTGCAATTGACGTAATTTATCAGTGATAAAGGAAATCTGATTCATTTCAGACTGAAAGTGAAATCTTCACATGCCTGCACTTGCGCCTCCAGACCGATGTACATGGGCCCAGTTGGAGAAGACATACTTGTCCCCAGAACTTACGCGGCAGATGTAGGGGCCCTGTTGAGCCGCACTAACGGGATTCAGCACCAGCTCTGGGCCATTGCCTCCCGGCACCTACCGAGACCATAAAGAACCAGACTAAGAATAATATTTCAAATCAGTAGGTTCAGTTACAAATTTAGTGCACCAGACCTCATCTTTGCCTTTGAACCACTGGTAGGTGAGCTCCACATGTCCGACTGCTCTGCAGCTCAGAACCACGGGACTTCCCTCTGGTACCCGCTGACTCTGTGGCTGCAGTGTGATATCAATCTGCCCCATCACTACCCAAAAACACAAACAACACCTGGGTGATATGACTCACCCTCTTCGGCCTTTGGGTTACCAAACCAAATCATTAACCACAAAGGCACACCACAGTGAGGATGGAGGAACTGTTCTAGATTAGATCATCATCATTTTGTATATATATTTAGCTACCATGTGTATTGAGAAATCCAACAGCCTCTCTGTGCTCGATTTTCTTCAGGCACTGAAGCAGGAAAGCCAAGGTACACCCTCTATCTGCAAGAAGGGCAAGCAGGTATCGGCCAGGACTGCCATGTGGACTTAGCACTTTGAGTGAGCAGTCAGTCAGCTCTTTGTCACTACAAAGAAGTAGATTCTATAATTGTGAACTGGTCATAACCATGCACAACATTGGTTAGTTATTCCACATAATTCAGTCTATAACAGACCTACCTATAGTAGAACTGTGGCTGCTCGGCCACTGCCTTTGCCAGCTGTTTCCAACCACACTCTAGATTGTCTAACATGTAACCGAGTCTGTTCAGCGCTGCCTCGCTCAGGGTTTCTACACCCAAATTCTTGTCCTCCATAACTTGGTAAATGATTATCTGAGAAATAAATGACAAGTGGTTTATTTACATTTTTCTTCAGACAGGAATGCTTTTCAATGTTTAGGATTTAGTTTTCAGTTGTTGAATAAAATTTTGAAGCATTAATGTAATTTCTACTATAGGTATCAGTGTTCTCTATTTCTGTGCTTTTTCAAAATAAACTATAAATCAACTTCCCAAACCAAACATTTACAGAACTATGAATTTACTAACAAATATGTTATTACCCAAACCCTATCACAAAAGGGGAAGATGTGATTAATGTCTAGCCTCTCAACCAATATCACATAATAAATATCAAAACCACAAAAAAAACAAAAAAAAAAACTACTCCATATTGGTATTTTTTGGTGGGGACTTCAACAGGAAAATGTCTAGGTGGTAGGCTATAATTGTCCAAAAAGAAAAATTCCCATTTAAATGCTACAATTCTTGAATACAGGTGCATCTCAATAAATTAGAATGTCGTGGAAAAGTTCATTTCAGTAATTCAACTCAAATTGTGAAACTCGTGTATTAAATAAATTCAGTGCACACAGACTGAAGTAGTTTAAGTCTTTGGTTCTTTTAATTGTGATATATTTTTTTAATCATATTAAAAACACCACATAACCACCAAAAATCGTAATACGTGTTTTATATTAACGCTGACTCGTTCCTGTATTAAAAGAACCCAACATAGCCTATAGTAACATGAAAATGCGGAACCGAATGCACCCTATATTTTTCTATATACGACACATTTGTCAGTGCTTTAGGAAACTTTAAATAGCCAACCACACAGGTAATTAATTACAAGTTTTAGTTCTATATCACACAGACAACATGATTAGAAAAGCTCGATATAAATTATTGCATTTAGATCACAGATCAGTATACTGTTCGATTTCATTAAAAAAAAAAAAAACGAAATGTCAAATAAAAAGCTCTTAAATATTTAAATTTAACCGGCAAACAGTACACTTACCTGTTATACGGTAATTTAGACACCAGGAAGTGAGTTTATCCCGGCTTCTTAAAACGTATGTTGTCAATCGACCGTAGCACAAATACTATTATTTAAAAAGAATATCTCACTGCACACAGCCGGTTTACCAATAATCAATCAATCGGACACTAAATATCCGTTTAACTCACTTTGAATCCGTTACTGCGACCAATGCTTATCAGAATCCACAAACCAGTATGGTAAACATCCGCAGCAGTTCTTTTTCAGTCAGTAGTTCCTCTTTCTAACATGTATTTGCATGCACATCCCACCACGCGCAGCACGAGCTTTTTACTTTCACCTTCTCTCGACCTATAACAGCGAGCCATCATCATCATCATCATGTAGACCAGGCACTCCTGCTGAAGGGATGTAACCCGTCACCTCACAGAACTTCGACAAAATATACAGATAGACCCTGTTGAAAAAAACAGCATATGCTGGTTTGGTATGTTTTGACGCTGGGATGCTGGTTTAAGCTGGTCCTTTGCTGGTTTATGCTGGTTCTTTGTTGGTTTATGCTGGTTCTTTGCTGGTTTAAGCTGGTCCTTTGCTGGTTTAAGCTGGTCCTTTGCTGGTTTATGCTGGTCCTTTTGCTGGTTTATGCTGGTCCTTTGCCAGCACGATATGCAGCACATGCCAGCATATGCTGGTTTTTTCAACAGGGGATAGACAAACAGATAAAGATAGATTAATCTTGTTAACAATTAGACTCTTTAACAATTTCACTTTTGACATTTCCAAGTTTTTCATGACTATAAGAAAGAACACACAAAAAAGAAAATACCCTTTTTGACATTTTGCATTAGAAATTGTATTTTTCTCGTGACAGAATTGAGAACAATAACACAATGACGTTAACAGTAATACAAAGAATGACAACAAAAATACAACCACTTGATCCTCAGACATAGCAGAACCAACACAACCAGCAAAACTGAAAAAGTTCGCTTATTTTTTGTCAGCACTGATTTGTTTCATTACACTGGAAAAGATGAACTTCTCCATATCTGAGGTCCACTCAGCAGAGAAACATATCTGAACCTGTGCCTCAGGTAATGTCTGCTGTGAAAACAAAGGTTCACCCAGGTCTTGCTCTCAAAGACGCATGATTCTGTCCAAACCCTCTACATCTTTTTGCCTTTATGCAGTTTATTATGTCTCCAAATATGCTCCTTCCTTAAAAGCTTCCAGTATTCCCGACTGTCTGGCTCCAATTCGTTGAGTTTTTTGGGTGGACCGAGGTCCAACTGAAACAACCTGAAGGTATAGGACAACATATATATATATAACTTGATTTACAAGCATAGTATTTTCTAGCTAATTTGAGAATATGGAAGATTTTTTTTCTGCTGTGGGATAAAACAAATAAAGCAGGTAAAGGCATAAAGCCTTTTTTATCTCACAATTCAGATTTTCTTTATCACAGTAGAGAGAAGAAAAGTCTGAATTGTAAGATATACACTTGCAATTGTGAGGGGGAACAAAATCTGATTTGTGACAAAAATTCACAATTGCCTTTTTCATGTTTAATTGGTGGAAACAAACAAACAAACAAAAAAACAATTGTAAGATGTAGAATTCAGAGGAAAAAAGCCAAAATTGCAAGACATGAACTCAGAATTCTAAGAAAGAAAAGTTAGAATTGCAAGATATAAACTCAGCAATCTAAGAAAAAAAATCTGAATTGCGAGATATAAACGTATGATTCTAGAAAAAAAAAAAGAAAAAAGTAAGATGTGAAAAATCTAATCTCAGAATTCTGAGGGAAAAAAATGCAGAATTGCAAGATATATTCTTATTCCGTGGAGGAAACAAGCTTCCATAAATCAATGCATATATACAGTGGGGCAAAAAAGTATTTAGTCAGCCACCAATTGTGCAAGTTCTCCCACTTAAAAAGGCACAAAGTAAAATACACCATCATACCATTCTGGATATTCCTCCCTGGGTTTAATAAGAGGGTCCTCGCCTTGTTTGAAGATGTTGACTCCAACTGCATGTGTACAAAGTCTCACTGGATCCTTACAGACTTCTGGACCCTTAAAAACTTCCTTTACCATTCCTTTGCCTTTGCCTTTGGTAACTAAGAAAGGCAAATATAAAATAAACATTATTTTGTAATATTTTACAAAAATAGCTATTAAAATAGTTTATAATGTAAAAAATATATATTATATAATAAAATATAATATACTATAAGACAAATATATTCTTAATGTTTTGAAAATTGGTCCTACAAGGTCAGAAGTTGCAGGGTAATGTTGACATTGTATGGATGCAAATACAAAACACACCTTACCTGGTTTCTTACTAGCATAACTACGGGACTGAATCCGTAGAGTGTTAACAAAAAGCTCGTTATAAGCATTAACAACAGGCAAGTTTATCCTCTTAAAAGAATGAAGTACACTATGTGCCATTGTGCCTCCACGGACCTTCCACCATGCTGTCTGAACTTCTTCTTCTTCTTCTTTAGGTTTTAACGGCAGCTTGCATCCTAGAAGTTGCATTACTGCCATCTTTTGGAATTATATTACTCCTACACCGATTAAAACATCAAATCCTCTCATCAGTATTGTATTTTTAAGGAAGCAGAACAAATACTTCCTTCCTTGACTTTTTCCGCCACATTCTAATATGTGACCCTGGACCACAAAACCAGTCATAAGGGTCAATTTTTAAAAATCTGAATAAATAAGCTTACAATTGATGTATGGTTTGTTAGGATAGGACAATGTTTGGCAGAGACACAACTATTTGAAAATCTGGAATCTGAGGGTGCAAAACAATCAAAATACTGAGAAAACCGCCTTTAAAGTTGTCCACATGAAGTTCTTAGCAATGCATATTACTAATCAAAAATTAAGTTTTAATATGTTTACAGTAGGAAATTTACAAAATATCTTCATGGAACATGATCTTTACTTAATATCCTAATGATTTTTGGCATAAAAGAAAAATCAATAATTTTGACCCATACAATGTCTCTTACAGCAGGCCTGCCTATATAGGAGAAAGACTAATGGACAAAGTAGTAGGTTAGCCTTTATGAACTGACTACCAAATCATGTGCCATTTTAGTCCTTGGGATTACTTTGTGGGAAATATGTTATCTAATGTTTTAAAGTATAAGTACAAATTAATGTTTGTAATTATTTATATAGCCTACATTAATCAAAAGTCCCAAACTAAAAAAACTGAAAGCAGAATGTCTGACTGTGTTCAAATTAAAAAGGGATGCATTTTGAAAATATTTAAATTCAATTTCAAGCATGTAGAAATGATCAAAAATACTGAGCAAATTGAACTTTAATCCTGTCACATCTGCACATCTGTCCAATTGAAGGCCTAAAATGATTCAGTGATTCAATAACTCACTCAAAAAACATAAAAGATATTAATTTGTCACCACCTACTGGCATAAAGATGTAGGCCTAATCAGCAAAAATGGTCACTTAATATATGAGTGAATTAATCCGAACAAATCTTTTTAATGAAAAAGTTCTCGAGAAATCAGTGGGAAAACGCTTACGTGGCTTTGTGGAAGGAGACGGTGATATAAAAAAAACACATGTAGTATTCAGTTTATTAAAAATATAAACTATGTACAGGCGAGCGGATGATCGTATGAACGCAAGGCGCTGAATTTAAGCGCTTTCCTCCTATAGAAAAGTGTTATAAAGAATATTTGCATTTGCAATATTTGCTTTGCATGTGATGCATTCATATTCTGGCCACATCTGCTTGCCTGTACACACACACACACACACACACACACATACACATACATATATATATACATACACATATATATACATACATATACATACATATATATACATATGCATATACACATACATATATACATATACATATACACATACATATACATAAACTGTTATAAAACTGTTATAAAGAATAAATGCTTAACGGGAGACTTTGCATGTGATGCGTTCATATTCTGGCCACATCTGCTTGCCTGTACACACACACACTTTATTTATTTATTTCACTGAAAAACATTTTTCATTCATCCAATAAAAAAAAAATGAGGGTAATGTTTCACATCTATATTTTATAACTTGAGCCAATGAAAAATAAATAACTTGCACTAAGCTATATTTTCTATGTCTATGAAAACTATTGTATAAACCTGGCACAAAGTATATTTTTCTTGTTGAAGAAAGTCAATTAATTAAAATTATAGTTTTGATCTAAACAAAAATATAAAGATTTAAAACAAAAATTCTCATTTAAGAAATATTACAAATCATTTATAATTACAACTTATATGAAAGCCTTGAAATCAACTGAAATAAAAGACATTAAATCTCTCAAGATCTCAGCAGAGGAGGATTAAACAACTCCACAAACAGCATTACCAGCTTCACTTATTACTAACCAGTTTGACTTCATTTCTCTCATATGTCTAAAAAAGTTATTACAGTTTTTTATGATTGTTTACACACTAAAATAAAAATGTCCACACAATTTGCAAAATTCTACTCCAATGAGCAAAACACCTCCACAGATTTGCACAACATTACACACAATGTCTGCTTCACCCTTTTTGCAAAACATTACACTTGTTTGAAGTCACCATTAATGTGGTCAGTGTTTGCTTTAGTTAGGCTCTTGACCCTTAACTTTATAATATTAGTTTTTCTCTGGTTGCTGTAACTCTGTGTTAACAACTAATTTATGTCAAAAAAGCCAAAAGAAAACATGACCAGGTGCTATTGACTGGTTATCAATAATGATAGTTGTCATGTAATGATACACTGATTTCATTCAGAGTGTAAATCTGTTATGTGATTGTAAAATTAATCTTATATTGTTGATAAAAGTAATGTTTTAGTCTTAATTTGTTGCATTTTAATAATTTACACACAAGACATTTTGAACATTTGTTCTGTTTAAACACGTTCATCAAGAATCAGCATATGAATCTCAACAATGGTGACAATAAACAAAAAGCTTCTTGCTGCAGTGCATTCTGGGAGCACCAATTAAAACTCATCCATGGCTCCCAGAATGCATTGCAACAAGAATAAATTATGCACCTGAATTGTCTTAATATTTTCTTTTATTCTTACTATTTGCTTTAATTTTTGCCATTTGTGTTGTGACTTTTTAGTAGCTTGTTTTGTGATGTTCAAAAATCTGTTTATCTGAATATTTTGTTGATTGTCACCATTGTTGAGATTCATATGTGTGCCATAAATTAATTTTTTGTGCACAAAATAAATTTGTTCACACGGTCAAAAACACAGTCTGTAGAAACAATGAGCTACTATAGTCAACAATGTAACAATCAGTGCATCAAGCCACTACATGATGAATTTGTCAGTATCAAGCAGCCAACATTACCTGATCACATTTTCACGTAGTTTTCGTTGCTATAATA